ACAGCCCTGGTGACGCCGCGACAGGCGCCTGGCTGTGTTCCTAACGCTTCCAGGGGTCGCTGAGCTCAGCGCTTCATTAGAAACACGCGGAGAGCTGGCTCATGCTGGAGCCGTTGTGACCCATAGTACCGCGTATTTGGCATATAAGCTATGCAGTCTAGTCAGGACACAAATTTTTTTTAATGTGGTTGTTAAATGGAGGTAATGAGTGTGGACTTTCTAATCTGCAGCTTGTCCTGAAGCTTCTCTCAAGCAAGATGCTTTTCCCCACGTTTCCAGTATGTCACAGAAGTGTTGGGTGTAACTACTGCAAGGGAATAACTGAGCAGCTGTTGGTGCACACCATTTTCTATTTATAAGTGTAAAAATTACAGCTAATTAGAAATCTTAGTTACAGCAAATACTGAAATTGTTATGCATATGGTATGTGTACCTTGCACACAGATATGTATGAATTTAGCATTGAGCAGCAATTATAGTTGTTGACTTTGTCAAGTTCTTGGCACAGAATTTTGGCTTGTAAATGTTCCAGGGAGCAGTACTTTGGGAGCTCTTCTATTTGTAAACCACCTCACTCATCTGTCAGAATCCGCGAAAGGAGGAGTTGTCAGTATCAGTCCTGTTACCCAAGTGGTGCCGATGGCACGAGTGGGAAGGGGCTCTTCTTCAGGGGAGCGTCTGCTGGCACTCGTGTCTGCCAGGGGCAAGGGAACTGTGAGCTGAAACACCGTCTGTCCTGTGCTTGCAGGTGGTTCTCCTGGGGATCGACATCCTTTCCGCACTAGTGTCCCGCTTGCAAGATCGCTTCAAGGCCCAGATCGGCACAGGTAAGGGGTCTGTGTGTGAGTGGAGGGTGTCACCATTGATCTGCTGGGATCTGCTCTGGCTGCTCTACACAAAGTCTTTCTCCCCAGGAGCGTGCTCAGGAAGCTCTTGCTGGTTTTGGGCTCTTCTGAAGGGTGGGAGGGCTGGGGGAGAGCAGAGGGGCTGTGCCACTGTGGTTTTCTTCAGAGGGATTTGGATGCTTCTGTGTTCTTTCCTCAGTGCTGCCAAGTTTACTTGATAGATTGGGAGACTCTAAGGACTCAGTGAGGGAGCAGGATCAGACCTTGCTGCTAAAAATCATGGAACAAGCTGCTAACCCTCAGGTATGCTCGACAGCCCTTTGTAGCTTGATTGAGTGACTGGCCGCTTAGAAAGGAGAACTTCTTACTGTTGGAATTTTCTCGGCTGTGGCTCTGTCTGAGATGACTTCATCTCCCTATGTCTTAGGAGATATTTTCTTTGCTTGGGAATGCTGTTGTGTGTCAGGATACACTTGGGAGTGTGAGTGCCAGTGAATTTCCTAAGGATGGGATGGGTGGATATCAGAGTAGTTGTTCTGGATCTTTAAAAGGTGCTTGATTTCTGTAAGTAAAAGTATTATTTTAACTAGTGGGGAGTTACTATGAAGTCATCACAGAGCAAAAAATTAGTTAGATTTAAAGGTGTCTTTCTACTTGTCCTGTTCTGCTTGGATGGATGTAAGCTTATATTTAAGGTCCAGAGATGTTATTGTGTATGACTGCTGGAAGAAAGAAGCTCTCTGCCCCTGCCTCCCTTTTCCCTGTCTCACCTTCTTTTCTGTCTTCCGCAGTATGTGTGGGACAGGATGCTAGGAGGATTCAAACACAAGAATTTCCGGACAAGAGAAGGGATTTGCCTCTGCCTTATTGCAACACTCAATGCGTAAGTCGGAACCTCCTGCCAACTGACGTTATGTCCACAAGCCTGCTTTGTAACTCACACCGCTGCCCTTTTTGTTCTTTGTTCCCAGATCTGGAGCTCAGAGTTTAACACTGAGTAAGATAGTGCCACATATATGTAACTTACTTGGAGATCCAAACAGCCAGGTAAGCATTTGGTGTGAATCACTTCCAAATGTGCTGATTGCCTTGTTGGCAAGTGTGGGGCTCTATATTCTGGCTGGTATATTAGTTGATTGTGCTGGTGAACTCCAAACAGCGCTGTTTGTGAAGAGCCCTTGGCTGGTTTTTAAGCCAGCCTGTCAATTACTCCAAGAGTTCAACAGAATAATATGCTCTGCAGGTGAGGTGAGCAGAGCAGAAAACCTTTGTGGGAAGGGAGCTCTCGTGCCTTACAGCCCAAATGCTCTAGGCTCACTGCAGCACTTTCACCTTTGGAGAAGAACCAGTCTGGGCAGGGAGGGCAAGTGGGACCAGCCTGACCATGGGCCAGAATTTCTACAGAGAGATTCAGAATGAGGAGTGGAAGGTATATGGGATTCTTAAATCAACAGTGCGAAGCAAATAAAAATATTTGTTGAAAAACAGAAAATCTGTCACTTCTACATGCTTTTTGTCTTGCCCTGGAGGGGGCTTTAATCAGAAATTGGATTCAAGTTTGTGAAGTTACTGAGGAGGGATGGGGAAGCAGCTTTCAAACTGATGTCATGTAACGCAGGTATCAGTTGTTTTTGAATATCTCTATTGCCCTCCCAGCATGGGTGACACGTATGTGATCCAGGACTGAAGTGTTTAGCTGGAGTGGGTTTATGCCTGCGGCTGTCAGGGCCTCCCCTGCCTGAAGAGAAGGACTGAGTGTGAAGCAGCCTTCCCTTGTCGATCGTTCCGACACCGGAGAATAAACCTGTCACCTGAGAGCTTGTGAAGGAGGCGAAATGTCCGTCATAGTTCTGAGTCGCGGCTGAACAAGCTGTGATCCTTTGAGATAACACTGGGTTTCGGACTTTGATTTGTTGCACAGGCAGACGCTTTGGTCCTGCCATTGTTGAGCTGGGGAATGGTGCACAAGGTTGGTGAGGGGACCGACGCATGTTTTCGCCCTGCACCGCCTTTTCCGTGTGCCCAGCACAGCTTGGCGTTCCAGGCCCCAGATGCGGTGGGAAATGAGGCTGATCTCTTGCCCCTTGTCCTGGGTCTGGCGTCTCATCCCCAGAAAGCCCCTGCCTGAACCCATCAGGCACAAATCGCTGCCGGTAGATCCTGGCTGAACAAGGCCTGTTTAGGGGCAGGGGCTGGCCGTGGGCTCTCCCTGTGGCTGCCTCTGTGCCGCTGGGGCTGCCTTTGGGCTTTGGGAGACCTGCTGCTCGGTCAATGCTGCCCTCTCTTGGTGAGAGAGGATGCAGAAACACAGACCCGGGTCAAGCGCCCTGTTCATCCCTTTTGTACTGGACGTGGAAGCTGTTTCGTCACTGCCGTTCTCAGAATGAGAATTATTTTAGGTTTTGTTGTTTTCAGCTAAGGCAGTTTTAAGAGCTCACATAATTGAGTGAACACCTAGTTTGGAAGCCGCATGTAAACTATGATTATTTTCTCAAAAAACATTAAAGCTGTGTTATTGCCCTGGTAGATTAAAGCCAGTTTGCCAGCAGGAGCTCTCTGCCTTGCCCAGGACGGGGTTTACCTGGTCCTGCAACCGTAGCTCTGGTTAATGTGACACACGGAGGCAATCCTGCAGGGAGGAGCTCCCTGGTCAGCCTCGCCTCGTGCTGTGGCTGGAGGGGAAGCAGCAGCAGGGCTGGGGATATGGCAGAGCTTGTGAGCGTGTTCCTGAGCCTGGGGCAGGTGGATTCGCTGTGGGCAGAGATGCAGGCACTGTGACCTCTCCTCCCAGGCTGGTGGAGGCAGAGAGCGAGGCTGGGTCGGGGTCTGGCTACCCAGGAACTGGGGACACCAGAGTCTCCTGAGCTGTGCCTAGAAGTGCTGCCTGGGGCTGTACAGGGCTGAGAATGGGGTGAGATGAGCATGAGCGTGCACTGCTCAGCAAAGTGGTGGAGTCACCGTCCCTGGAGGTGTTTAAGGAGAGACTGGATGTGGCACTTAGTGCCGTGGTGTTGGGACATAGGCTGGACTTGATCTCAGAGGTCTTTTCCAGCCTCAGCAATTATGTGATTCTGTGATGGGTCAAGTGTTAGGGTGGTTTTTTTTGGCTAGGAAGCAGTGTATGTGTGCCTGTTCTTTGACTCCCACCTAGAGGTGATTCTAGCTCGTGCCCACAAAATATCCCATGCATCTTTCCCTCTAGCCAACAGAAGAGCCACAAAGAGTCACATTTTTGTAGTGAAGGATGTGTTCAGCAATTTCTTGCAAATCAGTTTGGAAAACATGCAAAATTCCTGGTGGCTTGGGTGATCGATTACTCCTTCCTCCTTCCATCTTTTGCTATCAACACAGACACCTAAGTTTGTAAGATCACATTAAAATTCAGACTGCTTTACAACATACTAGCAATATAAAATCTGTTTGTTTCTCTCTCCTTGCTTTTTTTTATCCAGTAAATGTAGCTGTTGCACTCAATGACTGGAGTTCAGCAAAGGCAGCCAAGCTCCCTGTATGTGTCCCTATGCATGAAACCTTTTATCTTATGTCTTGGCTACCTTTAGACCTACTGATACTGCTAGTGACTGAAATGCAAGCGTGGAAGCTTATTCATGAACTCTGTGTTCACGCACATGTATAGTGGCGCTGTTGTTGCTGAGAAATGCAAATGTCTTTCTCCAAGGTAGGGCAGAGATGTATTTATTTAATGGATAAAGGTGATTGATTTCTCTCATATCTCATATTCAGGTTCGAGATGCAGCAATAAACAGCCTTGTGGAAATTTACAGACATGTTGGTGAACGTGTAAGGGCTGATCTCAGTAAAAAAGGATTACCCCAATCTCGGTGAGTTGACAGTGTCCTTATATCTTCACTGTTTTGGGGAAGTTTTTTATTCCCTTCCATCCTTTAGAAGACTTCAGGATTGAACCTTTTCCTGAGATCAGGATTTATATTTTGTTCATCCTACAAACACTCAGGTTTCACTTAAGGTGGATCCTGTGCCTTTGCCCAAGTATGTGACAGCATCTTTGCAAAACAAGTAAAATTATTACAGGTGTGTAGTTTACTCATTTAAAATTTAGTGTGATTTTTTTTTTTTTTTGGTGCATTCTGCATGTGTAAGGAGGACACTAAAGAGTAGCCTGTGTGTCTGCAATTTAGAAGGCTGTCATAAAGGAAGAAACCCGTTGTCAATGTCATCAATTTCAAGGCTTTATTTAATAATAATAATAATAATAAAAAACCACAAAAAAACCCCACACCAAAACCAAAGCCCTGTCCCTCTGCTTCTGTCACTTCAGGTGCGGCAAGAAAGCTGCTCTGCCTCTTGCTGCAACTTCCAGCACGCCAGGCTGGGGCTCAGTTAGACCTGAGGACGGAGCAGAGGGTGGCAGCGTGTCAGTGCTCAGAGGGGAGGGAGGAAGAGGTGATTTTGGAGGTGGGGTACTCGCAGCAGTGATTTTGGAGGTGGGGTGCTCACAAGCAACTTTCTTCCTCATTGACATTTTGGACAGTGCTCACAATGAGCTGAGTCAAGCAAAATTTGTCCTGTAACTTCTTTAATTAGAAGGTTCCTGAAAATTAAGTTCAGCTGTTGACTGTGTATTTCTTTAACTTTCGAACAGGTTGAATGTAATTTTTACGAAATTCGATGAGGTCCAAAAATCTGGAAACATGATCCAGAGTTCAGGTGGTGAGTAGAAGTATTTGCATTCTCGTCTTGGTTTTGTTTTTTTTTAATAATTATTATTTTAGCAATTTTCAACTGGTGAGGTATTTAAATGGACACAGAGCAGGCATTTTGTTAGGTAAAAGATGTATGGGTGATTGTTCAGAAATAAGCACATAGCTTTTGCAGCAAATAAAATTGATGTTTAGTTAGTCTGTTCTAGTAGTATCAGAAGGAGAATCAAGTGTGAGTTTCAAGAACAGGAAGTGTTGTTAGAGCTGTTCTCCTTTTTCTCTTAAGTTTCGTTAGGGAAATACATCTTCTTTTCTCAAGTCTATGTGCACCTTTTAAGTTGTTGATACGGTAAATTAAATAGTAATTTAAAAGAATAAGTCTTTTTGGTTAGTGCCCTAAACAGCACAGAAAGTGTACATGTTAGTGCAGTAGTTTTCCATTTAAAGCTCATGTTGTTTAGGGGTCGTATTTTTCAGTTCCAGAGTTTGTGTACTCCATGTGTTTATGACTGATAGTCAAAGACCCTTATCAGAGTCTTAATTTTGTCTTTCTTGTTTGAGACTAGTATTGTGCATACTTAAAAACCAAGTGTTTATTCTTTTCTTACAGATAAGCTTATGAAATAGAAAGTATTTTTTATACATATCACTCATTTTTTTAGGAAGAGATTTTTAAGAGGCTTCTTGGTGAGGGAACTCATCTTTCTGCCAAAAGCCAAGTAGAGCAAAGATGAAGAACATGGGTTCAGTGCTGTGGGCTCCTGTCAAACTCACACCCTCTGCAAGCCAAGGGTAGGAGAGGTGATGTCCCCAAGCTTTCCCTTGGCTTCTGAGAGGGCGCAGTGAGAGCAGAGAGGTCTCTGCTCTTTTAAATTAGGAAAAAATACCTTTTTCACTTCTAGCCACTATTCTTCTTGCCCTATCATTTTAAAATACAGTGAACTTCATCTGTGCAGGAAATAGTAGAATAGACGTCTTTGAAAATTCATTAAGTTGTGTTTTGGAATTTTTTGAAATATTGTGATACTCTCTTGTGTGTTTGGGAATGGTGAAGATGTGCAGATTCTTCTGTGATGAAACAGCTTCAAATTATGCTTTTGCATAGTGTGGGGCAGTATTGACTCTATAGGTAGATGAGGCTTAGAGTGACAAAAAAGTGCAGCTGAGATGAGAAACAAATGTCCTTATACTTTTTTAAAAGGAGGGGGGAAGTAAATATTTAATCCCTTAGCAAACATCTTCAGGTTTACAACCTCCAGGTGCTTCTTTGAAATCCCAAGGCAAACTGAAACAAGCTTACTGCTGATCCAACTTCTCTGCTTTTCCACGTGGCTAGGCTAAGGTAGAATTTCTGTTTTGCCGGTAGTGGAATAGAATGCACTTTCAAAAGAGAGAGTTGGTTTGATGCGTCATTGTACTGTGTAGATTGCTGTTGTCTAGAGTTTGAGGAGGTGACCTCGTGCTCTGTGGTGAGATGCGTTGCTGCGTGGTCTTTCTAAACAAATGCTGTGGTGGGATGATGACTGAGTGGGATCTCTTGTTGGTTTTATTCTCTAGGGGGAGGGGGAAAGAATTTTGGAGCTTAATGTCCCCCTACCCAAATTTAAGCGAAGTTTACAGAGAGTTTTTCACCACTGATTAGGAGAATATTTAATACGAAATAGGTGATACATGTAAGAATAAACTTCAGTGAAGAACAAGAAACTAGAGTTAATTCATTTGCAATGCAAGTTTTAGCTGTGAAAACGTTTTAGTACCTGCACATCCCAGAACAATACCAGAGACACCACCTGCTAATCCTTGGCTTTTGAGAGATGGTTCTGGTCTCTAAACTGAACATCGTAATGCACGCTGTGATGTGGTTCAAAGCTGTTGGCGCCACAGAAAACATCAAAAGAAGTAAGATGGGACAATGGGGGTGACCTCTTCTGTGCAAACAATCTGTTTTAAAATTGCTAAAGGAGGATTCCATAGGAACGTTTTTTTGTCCTTAGAAGTGCAAGTAATGCATCTATGTGTATTAGGTCTGCTAGTTTTAGACTTCATTGAGAATTATTTTTTCTTTTAATTACCCCTTCCTCTGCCACTGTTTTGATGAATTTGAAGGTATAACATTCTTGCATATATACTTCCTGAGACCTTACATACCCCATCTCATGTGCTTGACTTCAATGACAGGCTCGTAGACACAAGTATTCATGTCTTCCTCACTCTGCTTAACCTGATCTGCTGATACCTTGCTCGTGCTGTGGCTGGATACAGTCCCTAGAGAGTGTGTGTGTGTGTGTTAGCATTTCATCTCTGTTGAATCTCCTTTGTAGGCACTTGAGACCAAAAAGCAGCCTGAGGGAAAGGGAGTTGGGGAGAGTGGAGGGGTGTTAAGGAGTCAAAGAGATCAAGGCATGGAAAGGCTCTGCCAGAAGCTTTTCATCTTCCCCAACAATAGGAAAAAGTCTGTAATTGCATGAGTTAATTTTAAAGTAGTTCTCATTTGTGAAGCCAATAATGAGAACATTAATTATTAATATCTTTTTGTGTGTGTGTGTGTGTGAGGGGAGGGTTCAGTTTCCCGTAGTGCTATAGGCTGGTTTCTTGCTTCTTCCTCGCCTTCCAAGCACAAATTCAGCACGCGTACACGCCCACCGTTATCTAATGTGGCAACAGCTCTGTGCAGCTCTCGGTTTATCTTTTTGAGGTTGTGTAAGCCAGTGGAGGAGGCTTATCTTCACCTATGGTCACAAGTTTATTATGGCCTAAGGACAAGCTACGTTTGTTGAGTTTCTAGTGTCCCTGACACCTTCTACAGCTTTTGAACAGAGGTGATGCTTTCAGTGCTTGTCAAAGTCACCAGAGGAGCTGGTGATAAATAGTGCCCATCCAAAAGATTTGCCTTTCTCGGGAAATAGCTGTCCTAGTCTTGTTAATCCTTTGAGTCTGGCAGAGCAGAGTATTGATTATGAGGGTGTCTGTCTGTTATCATTAATACACTCCTTGTAGATTGTTACTCCACCAGGCACAAACACCACTAATGCTTTAACTTGTTTTATAGCCTGGATTAGATGACTTCAAGCAGTTGTACCTTGTCTTAAAAGCTTGTATTAGTCCTTCTCCATAGCTAACGTGTACTACTTCTAGCTCTGTGAGGCAGCAAGAGTGTCCCAGAGGTTTTGGAAGGCAGACTGACAAATGTCCCTGCAGACTGCAGTCTGTAAGCCCTTGTTGGCATAGAATGGCTCCGTGGAAGGAGCAGCACCAACTCCCTCATGCCGTGTTTTCTGTCCTGAGCTGCTTCCCTGCATGGGGGGCCTGTACTGCCTGCAGAATGGACCTGGCTGAAAAGTATTAAAAGACTTTGACCCTTTGGGAGAGGCTTTCTGTTGTTTGGTGTTAATGCACATCTCTGAATGGGGATGTTAGCTGAAGCTGTGTCGTGATTTCCCAGCTCACTACCAAAGGTCAAGTCTAACTTTTGTTAAAAGCTGTCTTATGAGCGGCTGGGATGAACCTGTACTTCTCTGGTGGGTAACCAAGAGCAAGCTGTCGGCTGAAGTGTCCCTCCTAACCGAGCCCTGGCCCAGGAGCACTGGAGCTGTGCTAATTACCGCCGGACGTGGAAGTGGTTGTCAGACCCGACTCACTGCACAACAAAGTGGTGCCGGGCAGGTGAGAAGCAACTGTGGCTTCTGAAATGGTCAGATATGGCAAACAAACTGGTCAAAGAAGAGCGATGCGCAAAACTGGTCTCTTAGCTCTGGGACTACTGTTCAGGTAACAGCTTGCTCTACCAGCTCGCTGAGGATCCAAGTAAACGAAACGATTGCAGCAGCATTATTTGTATATCAGGAGTAAACTGGGGATTGGAAAGTATGCCAAGTCATTAAAGATTCCTTAACAAATGGCTCCCAAGACAAACAAATATAAAATCTAGTCTGCTGGAAAAGCTGATTAAAATAATAGGGTATTTTCTGATTCCATGAATGAATCTAATGAACCAACTCTAATCAGAATGTGAATTTTAAGGCTATAAATATAAAACATAGGAACTATTTTCCCTTGTCTTTCTATATTGCTGTCCATTAGTGCTTCTTTGAGTTTATCTGGAATTGCACGAATATTATTTTTTTTTTTGGCTAGGCTTTGTTTTTATCTTTTAGTAATACAGGAATGAAATGCATAGTGAGGTGGGGGTGGTTTGCATAGTAACCTGAGGTGTTTCATTAAGTCAAAGGGAGGTTTTGGCATGCTGAAATATGCTGCTTGTTGCTAGGCTACCAGCAGCCCCTATAGCTAGAATATGCAGTTAAAATCCATGTTGGATTTCTTGAGGATTCTCAGTGCATCTCTGTTTTTGTTGTATGGCATATAATTAGTCTGCCTCTTGAAGCAAAAATTATAGTTTTTCCCCCTTTGGGCTTTCAGCAAGCTAATTATTTTTTGTGTAACTGCTTTTGCTAATTATGCAGATGCCTTATTCCCCTGGGACAAATACATTTTCAGCATGAAAGAGCCAATAATTGCCAGCTAGTCAGCTGCTGTCTTCGTGTGGCATTTTCTGATGGTCTTTAGTTGGATGTGATACAGAGAGAGGCTACTGGGCATAATCGGAGGCTCCAAGAAATTAATTTTCCTCGTTTTCCTTGGTGTTATGTCTGGAAGGGCCTGAACATAAAGCATACAGTTTTTCGTGGATTTAAATTGACTTTGAATCAGACCTGGATTCCAGAAGACTGATAAGCTTCAGGACAGATTAAGGAGGCAATAAGTGATCTACTGAGAGATACAGGCTGATAAGAAACGATGACTCAAACCACAGCTATTAGTAACCAACATGTTTTGGTGTGCTTTTTATGCTTTTGACCACTGCATTATCATAATATGACATTCTTTGATGTGAACCCTTATTTTTGTTTTTTACAGAAGTCACACAATTTGTGGGAGATGCTTTTACGCTGGCATGTGCAGGGGTGCTGTGGTGGTGTGCCAGTTTGGTACCTGTGAGTAGGGAGCACA